AAAAAAAAAAAAAAAGAAGGCAAAAGAGTTGAAGAAGCATTTCACTGAAGAGGATATACAGATGGCAAATAAGCATATAAGGAGATGTGTAACATTATTAGCTATTAGGGAGATGCAGATTAAAGCCACAGTGAGAGAACTACTTCAGGATGACTAAAATAAAAAGTAGTGACAGTACAAAATACTGGTGACTGTGCAGGGAAACTATGCTCATGCATTGCTGATAGGAATGTGAAATGGTACAGCCACTCTGGAAAACAGATCTGGCAGTTCTTCCAACTATCATGTGACCCAGCAGTTACCATCCTGGGTGTTTATCCTAGAGAAATGAAAACTACTCTGTATACGTTAGCCAGGCATGGTGATGCGTGCCTGTAATCCCAGCTACTCGGGAGGCTGAGGCATGAGAATTGCTTGAACCCAGGAGGCAGAAGTTGCAGTGAGCCAAGATTTTGCCACTATACTCCAGCATGGGCAATAGACCAAGATCCTGTCTCAAAAAATAAAAAATTTTTAAAAACTTACCTGTACATGAAGATTAATAGTAGCTTTATTGGTAATAGCCAGAAACTGGAAACAAATCAGATGTTTTCAACAGTGAATGGTTAAACAAGCTGTGGTGGATACACATGGAATACTACTCAACAATAGAAAAGGAACTAACTATTGGTACATGTTGAATACCCCTTATCTGAAATGCTGGGGACCAGAAGTGTTTTGGATTTCAGATTTTTTCAGATTTTGGAATCTTTGCATTATAGTTACTGCTTTAGCATTTCTTATCCAAAAGTCTGAAATGCATTTCGTTTGAGTGCCATGTATGTACTCAAAAAGTCTCAGATTTTGAATGTACTCAACCTGTACATGCAATAACTTGGTAGAACCTGGGTTGGGGTAGAAAGCCAATGTCAGAAGGTTGTATACTGATTTAATTCAGACAACACTCTTGAAGTTACAAAATGGTAGAAATAGAGAAGAGATTGGTGGTTTCCAGGGCTTAAGGAAGGGATTAGGGTAAGGGAGGTGAGTGGGTGTCACCCTAAAGGGCAGCCCCTTGGGATCCTGGTGGCACTGTGATATAGTGACACAGGCTCTTACCATTGCGGAAGGAAGACACATGGGACCTCTGTATTGTTACTTCCAACTATACGTTACTCTACACTTATCTCAAAATTGAAAGTTTAATTCAAAAGAAAAACCTCAGCTGGGTGTGGTGGCTCATGCCTATAATCCTAGCACTTTGGGAGGCTGAGGCAGGTCACAAGGTCAGGAAATCGAGACCATCCTGGCCAACATGGTGAAACCCTGTCTCTACTAAAAATACAAAAATTCGCTGGGCTTGGTGGTGCATGCCTGTAATCCCAGCTACTTGGGAGGCTGAGGCAGGAGAATCATTTGAACCAGGGAGTCGGAGGTTGCAGTGAGCCGAGATCACGCCATAGCACTCCAGCCTGGTGACAGAGCGAGACTCCGTCTAAAAAAAAAAGAAAAACCCCCCAGACCCTTACTGGTGATAGGAGAAGACCTAAACCAAACCCTTGGTGTGTTTTCTTCCTCCCCACTGCTTTGTCCACCTCTCTAGACTCTTGTTTTGTCGCCCACATGGCCTCAGTGTTAGTGACTTGCCCAGTGACATAGCTCTGGAGGCTTCACACCCTGAGGGGCTCCTCTACCCTCAAAACACCCAGGGCCTTGCCTTGGGGCCTTCTGTTGGCCTGCTCGGTGTGAGGGGTGGGTTCTCTTACCTTGGGGCCAAGGTAAGAGGTTCCCGTGATGGGGGCAGGCTGGGCCTGTAGAGATAGCCCACCAGAGGGAAGGTAAAAAGCCCACAAAAGATTCAGGACCAGGATCCAGAGCCATGTGTATTTTTCTCCCCACATCATAAGTTTGATGTCAGATATTATTTACAAACAGATTTTGAAAGCAGGGTCAGCAGGCCCGGAGGATTGCATGTCCAGTGGGAGTGGGGGAGGGGTGCAGGCCACTGAGGGCAGGTCAGCAGTCCCCAGGGTTCTGTGGCTTCTCCCAGACTGGCTTGAAAAAAATGCTTTTATTTTCTTGGAGTTCCCCCATGCAGATGTTAACTTTAGGGGCAAAGGAAAGACAAAGGTTACATTTCATCTCTGAGTCTATAGATGTATCCCCTATTGGGAAGAGGTTAGAGGTCAGTGACAAAGACAGTATGTCCCATGAGAATCGAGGGAGGATTCTTGTCCGTATGTGAGGAGTAAGTGGGAAGTGGTGCAGCCTCACAGTGTTGTCAGGCAGATGTGGGGTGGTGATTGGCCTTGACAGAGTACCCAGCCACCCTTCCTCACTGCCCTCTCATGCCATTTCTCCTGGTGGCTCCACACAGGTGTATGCCCACGCAGGCGCGACGCTGGAGGGGAAGATGTATATCACCTGCGGCCGCAGAGGGGAGGATTACCTGAAAGAGACACACTGCTACGACCCAGGCAGCAACACTTGGCACACACTGGCTGATGGGCCTGTGCGGCGCGCCTGGCACGGCATGGCGACCCTCCTCAGCAAGCTGTATGTGATCGGGGGCAGCAACAATGATGCCGGATACAGGAGGGATGTGCACCAGGTGAGTGGGGCCGGGGGCTGTCCACACCCGTCATCATTCCCAACCCTCTCAGTTGTTGTTGATGGAAAATGTAATTGAAACATGTGCCTTTTTAAAATAGACTATTTTTCAAAGCAGTTTTAGGTTCACAGCAAAATTAAGTGGAAGGTACAGTTTCCATACACCCCTTTTTCCCTGCATACACATACAGCCTCCCCACTGCAGACCTCTCGCTCCACAGGGGTGGATATGTCACAGTTGTAGAAACTGCATTGATGCGTCACCATCAACCAGAGTCCACAGTGTTCACTCTTGGTACATTCTGTAGGTTTGGACAGATGTCACCATGACAGTATCATACACATACACATCTACCTTTGCTTATTATTCTTAAAAACTTTTAGGCCGGATGTGGTGGCACATGCCTGTAATCCAAGCAGTTTGGGAAGCCAAGGTGAGAGGATCGCTTGAGCTCAGGAGATTGAGACCAGCCTGGGCAACATGTTGAAACCCCATCTCTACAAAAATACAAAAATTAGCCAGGTGTGGTGGTGCATGCCTGTAATCTCAGCTACTTGGGAGGCTGAGGTGGGGGGATGGTTTGAGCCCAGGAGGCAGAGGTTGCGGTAAGCTGAGACCACGCCACTGCACTCCAGCCTGGGTGACAGAGCCAGGCCTTGTCTCAAAAAAAAAGCCTTTTAGAGTCAGGCTGGCGGCACATACCTGTAGTCCTAGCTACTCAGGAGGCTGAGGTGGGAGGATCGTTTCAGCCCAGCAGTTGGAGGCTTCATTGAGCTATGATCACACTGCTGTTCCCCAGCCTCAGTGACAGAATGAGACCCTGTCTCTATTAAAAACAAAACAAAACAAACAAAAGAACAAAACTTTTATTATAAAGTTAATATAACCACATTGCAGGAACTTTAAAAAATAGAGATGGGTGGCCAGGCATGGTGGCTCACGCCTGTAATTGCAGCACTTTGGGAGGCCGAGGCGGGTGGATCTCTAGGTCAGGCGTTCAAGACCAGCTTGGCCAAGATGGTGAAACCCCATCTCTATTAAAAATACAAAAATTAGCCAGGTGCTCTGGTGGGCGCCTATAATCCCAGTTACTTGGGAAGGCTGAGGCAGGAGAATCGCTGGAACCCGGGGGGCGGAGGTTGCAGTGCGCTGAGATCGCACGACTGCACTCCAGCCTGGGCAACAGAGCAAGACTCCGTCTCAAAAAAAGAAAAAAAATAGAGATGGGTGAGGAAAAGCATTTATAATCAGGCCCCTGCAGCACTGTTTTTCCATATGACCATCTTCAGTATTGACCGTGTATGTTTTCTGCCTGAAAGCATCCCGTTCTGAGCTGGGCACAGTGGCTCACGCCTGTAATCCCTACACTTTGGGAAGCCAAGGCAGGTGGATGGCTTGAGTCCAGGAATTGATACCAGCCTGGGCAACAGGGTGAAACCCCATCTCTACTAAAAATACAAAAAAAAATTAGTCGGGCATGGTGGCTTGCACCTGTGGTCCCAGCTACTTGGGAGGCTGAGAGAGAATCACCTGAGCCCAGGAGGTTGAGACTGCAGTGAACCTCAGTGATGGTGCCACCGCACTCCAGCCTGAGTGACAGAGCGAGACCTTGTCTCAAACAAACAAACAAACAAACAAACAAAAAAGAGCATCCTATATCCCATTCTGCTTCTCTCAGTGACTTTTGTCCTGGGCATTTTCCAGTTTAACACTCAATCTTCATAATCCCCTCTTGTGTCTGAGCTTTAACTATTCCAAATAACATGACAAGTAACAGTTGCTTTGTTGGACTTTTCAAGTATTTTGGATTATTTCCTTAGGTTCATGCCACAGTTCTCAAAGTGTGATTCTCAGACTAACAGAGTCTGCATCACCTGGGAATGCTGTGTGATGAAGCACCTCAGACCCACTGATTCAGAAGCCCTGAGGGTGGGGCTTCGCAATCTGGGTTTTAACAGGCCCTCTGCTTGTGAGATCCTCCGGACCAGCACATTCATTTTCTATTGCTGCAGTAACCTATCTCCACAAACTTAGCAACTTAAGATAAATGTATTCTGCATTCACAAGTCCTCTGACAGGGCCTTGCCAGGCTAAAACCAGGGTGTGGTCAGGGCATCTTTCCTTTGTGGAGACCCTAGTGGGGATCTGCCTCCTTGCTCACCCAGGTGGTTAGAAGAATTCAGTCCCTGGCAGTTGCAGTCCCATTTCCTTGCTAGCTGTCAGCTGAGGGCCTTCTTGGCTTCTAAAGGTCCCCACTTTTCCTGGCTTCGGGGTGCTTCATCTTCAAAGCCAGCAATGGCAGGTTGAGTCCTCCTCACTTCTCAGCTCTCTCGTCTGGCTTTACCCTTCCTTTCTTTTGATGGAGTCTTGGTCTGTCACCCAGGCTGGGGGGTAGTGGTGCAATCTCAGCTAACTGCAACCTCTGCCTCCTGGGTTTAGGCGATTCTCCTGCCGTAGCCTCCTGAGTAGCTGGGAGGACTGCAGGTGTTCGCCACCACACCTAGCTAATCTTTGTGTTTTTAGTAGATGGAGTTTTGCCATGTTGGCCAGGCTGGTCTCAAACTCCTGACCTCAGGTGATCCATGCACCTCAGCCTCCCAAAGTGCTGGGATTACAGGTGTGAGCCACCACCCCCAGCCTCCCCTTCCACTTTTTTTTTTTTTTTTTTTTGAGATGGAGTCTCGCTCTGTCACCAGGCTGGAGTGCAGTGGTGCTCTTGGCTTACTGCACCCTTCGCCTCCTGGGTTCAAGCGATTCTCCTGCCTCAGCCTCCCGAGTAGCTGGGGTTACAGGGATGTGCCACCATGCCCAGCTGATTTTTGTATTTTTAGTAGAGACGGGGCTTCATCGTGTTGGCCAGGATGATCTCGATCTCTTGACCTTGTGATCCGCCCGCTTTGGCCTCCCAAAGTGCTGGGATTACAGGTGTGAGCCACTGTGCCCAGCCTCTCCCCTTCCACTTTTAAGGGCTCATGCAATTGGATGGGTCACCTGGAAAATCCAGGAAAACTGCCTCATCTCAGGGTCTGCACCTTTAATTCTTTTTTTTTTTTTCTGTATTCTCGCACCCTCGATCCTATCTGCAAAGCCCCTTTGGCCACTTAAGGTAGCATATTCTGGAGATTAGGAACTAGACATCTTTGAGGGCCACTATTCTGCCACCATAGCTAGAGAACCAAAAACGGCTAATCAGTTAAGAAGATAAGATTTTCATGGCTCTTAATACTTATTGCCAAATTCCTTTTCTGGCATGTCAGACAGATACATAGTAGTATGGCTTTACCACACCCTCACCAGCATTGGGTTTTGTGATTTTTCTTCTCTGCAGTGGTTGCTAGTTAATAGTTGGAAAATTTGTCTCTGATGTTTTGATTTTGTATTTCTTGAATTACTAGTAGGTTGAACATTTTTCCATGTCTTTGTTTACTGTTTTGGACAATTTTGAAGACAAGAGAATGTTGATGTTGATTACTCCGCAAGGAATTACTTCCACTTTCTGTCTCCTCCCCCTGTCCTGCTGCCTGTGTTGAGTGCTGCAGGTGAGGCTGAAGACATTTCAGTGGAGTCCCTGTTTCTCAGGCAGCTTCCGTTTCCTGGAGGGGAGAGAAGCAGTGCCCTCAGACATGGGGAACAACCACATGCTGATGGGGGCATAGCCACACACTTGAGGGCAGAGACTGGCTTAGGGCCAGGTGGCCTGAAGGAAGGGCTAGGCTCAAGCAAAGCCAGAGGGAATTGGATCATTCTAGGGGAGGGCCCAAAAGACAGGCTCCTGCAGACTCAGCCATCCCTGAGTGAGAGAGCAGCAGCCTAGCCCATGGGCAGGATGTTTCAACACTGGCCCTGTGCCATCCTTCCAGGGGGTCTGACCTGTCGGAATGGTGGGTAACTATGGCCACCTTGGTCAGTGGGCTTGTAGGGGAGCTGGCAGCCTTGTCCCAGCAGGTGCTGGGCTTTATTCTGGCCTTGGCTTTGCAGGTGGCCTGCTACAGCTGCACGTCTGGACAGTGGTCTTCCGTCTGCCCACTCCCTGCTGGGCACGGTGAGCCTGGCATTGCCGTGCTGGACAACAGGATCTATGTGCTAGGTGGCCGCTCACACAACCGTGGCAGCCGCACGGGCTATGTGCACATTTACGATGTGGAGAAGGACTGCTGGGAGGAGGGGCCCCAGCTGGACAACTCCATCTCAGGCCTGGCGGCCTGTGTGCTCACCTTGCCTCGCTCCCTGCTCCTCGAGCCGCCCCGCGGTACCCCTGACCGCAGCCAGGCCGACCCGGACTTTGCCTCTGAGGTGATGAGTGTGTCTGACTGGGAGGAGTTTGACAACTCCAGTGAGGACTAGGCTTCCTGTGCCTGGTGTCAGAGGGAAGGGCGGCTGGGGCTGCAGGGCAGTGAAACCCACGCAGCCTAGGCCACAGCACTTTACTCCAGGGCAGGACCCCCTGCCCCTGTTGGCCACAGCTTGGGGGCCCTGCCCTCTTTCTTCACACCAGCCCCTTGGCCAGCCTGCCGCAGGCATCTCAGGGCCGTGCAGATCCCGGCCTGTGGATTACATCACAGCAGGAAATGCTTCTGAAAGGCTTTGGTCTTCCTCAGTGAGCCCTGGAGGGGTTGGCCTTCTCTTTCCTCCCTGCCTAGATCAGTCCTTATCCAAAGGGACCTGGGAGCTGACAGCCTGGGCAGGGGGGCTGAGGTACGTGGCAGCCCTCTTTCTGTGAATGGGGTGGGCCTGTGGGAGTAGCTGGGGTTGGAGGATGAGAGCTCCTGAGGGGCAGAGGAGCAGAGATGCGTCAGCTCTCCTGGGACTGGCTCTGTGATAAAAAGACCCCTCCCGCTGGGTTTTTAGACCCCATGTTGTTGATCAATGAAATAAAGCATCTTACAGAAGGTGTTAACTGTTTTTCTGTAGCCACAGCCTCAGTTCCTTTCCACAGTGCATCCAAGCTGCATCCCTGGGAAGTGTGGCTTCTGGGGTCAGAGCTGCCGTCTGGGAGGCTGTGGAAGCCCAGGCCAGAAGCCAAGTGGCACTAGGAAGACCCTGCCTGAGAGGGAAGCACAGTCAACTCCACAAGCTAACAGGGCAGTCAGTGGGAAAGCTGGAACTTGCCCTGGTCTGGTGACAGGTGGTTGTGTAGCCCACTTGAGTGTCTTTTCTGGTGTGGAACTTGTCTCCCAACCAGGGCAGCACGCAGAATTTCAGTTCAGCTCTAGTTAGGAGTCTCTCAGCCTGAGAGGGTCAGGGAGCCAGAGCCTCAGCACCTGGGAGCGGGGCAGCATCACAGGGGCATGGAGGGTGGCCCCTCTGGCCTGTGCCCGGCTCTTCCCAACCTCCTAAAGCTGAGTGTGCTGGGGAGGGGATCTGCATGTGCTACAGGTTTTCCAGGTAACCCTTAGACACCCAGTCTCAAGGACCACACTGGCACAGCAGCTGGGACCCTCCCCTTTTCACCTGTCCCGGTGCTTTTCTTGCCCTCTTGAGACCACCAGGCTTAGCCTGCACCCTGCATGGATGGGCTGTGAGTCCACACCAGCGTGACCACAGGGCTGCACCACACGAAGCTTTCTTCCATCTAGATGCCCTCACAGGGTCTGCACCTGCAGACTCCTACTATGGGCCTTGTGCCCAGAGCCATCCTGCAGACAGAGCTGTAACTGGCCAAGGCCCCATCCTCTCCCAGTTGACTGGGCAGAGCATGGGGACAGCCATGTGTTTTTGCTGGCATCCTGTCCCGGAAGAGAAAGGGGCAGTGTGCTGCTTGATGGGAGGAGAGGGGATGGGGAGGGGGGATCATCAGTCACTCTGGGCTCTCCTAAATGGATACCCCAAAGATTCTTGAGAGTAGAGGCAAATCCCTCGGAGTTGGCCTGTGCCTCCAGGGCTGTGGTATGTGGGTGTGTGTGAGACCTGAAGACCTTCCTCACTGTCCTGGGCCCTGAGTACCCCTGAGGAAACATGACATTGCCTTAGGGTAGCAGACCCGATGTTGAGCCCCGGTGGGGCAGGATGGCTACACACTCCAGTGTCATCTCCCTTCTCCCGAGGGTGGGGTTCAGAGTAGGAACCCCACTCTGTGGGTCTCAGACCCAGCACTTCCTGTATCTCTGCTACCACCTGGCAGGCCAGGGC